CCTGGTTCAAAAAGCCGCTCCCCCCGCGAATGTTCCCAAGCATTTCATTTAAATTTCTCGTATATATTCTTAGAGTGGTAGAATTTTAACAAATATTGTCTTTTGGTGTAAGAGGGAGAAATTGTTATATTGTTTTAGTTCTTAGTCATCGGAAATTGTCGTTGATACCGAGTTTTTAAACTGCGCTGCGAAAAACTACCAAGTTACGCTTTGAGGAGAAATTCTCAGCAGGGCGTTTTTGACGCCACCTCGGAATATTAAAGCACATCGATTCTTCTTGCGCATGCGCAGTTCAAGATTCGCACAAAATTTACTGCATCTGCGCATGAACGTAGAAGATACGATAGTGGCTGTCCGCTAGAGGGCGCCGCACAAATTCCCTATTGTTTCCTCCCTATTAGAAGTTCTCTTATGGCACAGCACTGTGGCAACAAGGAAGACGGAAACGTTTTGTTAAATGGAACAACGAGATAGAGATACGTAGAATATAGACAAGCTTAAGAGAGATGCAAAATTTTTTTCTCATTTTGTTGAAACCACTAATTTTTTTCGAAAATTGGCAAAAGTTTCAAATTTTTTTCGGACTCGTCTACAACTAAAAATATTAGAGACCACGATTTTTATCCTCAATCAAATCTGTTCCTTAAAGATTAGCATTTTGAAAATAAGCGGGTCTTGTTTACAATTATTTCTAATATTTGAGTCCCTTTAGCGGTAATTTTGGTTGAAAGAACGAGGGAGAAAGCACGTGCTGTTTTAGCATCACTACTTGATTTTCTGCCAATTGTAAAGACCTATTGTGCTGTGGCAAGAATAAACGTGCAGATTAAATGCAAATGTAAACGAAAATTCGACCTCCGCAAGCAATCGCTTACTGATTAAAACAAATAAACAGCTATTACTCGCGCAACTTTTCTTGAACGAGGCATTTGAAAAATGTGGGGTAGGACTGGGGGTTACTCTAACAAACATGAGATCTGCCCACCATTCTGCTTTAAAACATACTTTCACACTACCAACAACAAAAATGTAATTAAAAAAATATGGCGCCATTTTTTGTAAAGTTGGGAAAATGTCTAGGGATTCATGTGAAAATTCTGCCCCCCCTCCCCAATTAAAAATATCAGTGTCAAAATTTCAAGACGCCCGGCGACACCAAAGCCCGGTCAACGGGCAATATCAATTTTGAAGAACAATCGGCTGAACGGTTTACCCCGGCTCCGGCCCCGCAGCCGACAACGTTGCAGGTACGGTTGATTCATTGATTGATTACTGATTCCGGGCGCGTCAATTGCCGAGGTTACAAGTCCCGTAAGTGTAGTGCATGACTTAGCTCGGGAGGTGGCGGCGGTCTTCCGTCTCTGGATAGCGAGATCCGGCGCCGACCTATCAGACCACTTCAATCCTCCGCGTGGAAAAGAATTCCATCAGGCAACTTCTCTGAACAGTAGTTTCCCGAGGTTTCTTCGATCAATACCAGGCGAACGTCGGAGCAGAATCCCAACATAAGGGCCGCAGACCGCGTGTGATCTTCCTTTCATCCTTCTCCTTACAGTCGGCCTTACACGTGCTTTTCACTACCACATGCCGGGAGATCAGTAGGGAGCTTAGAGCTTGCCCCGGCTAGAGTGGTGCCCTGCCGAGGGAGATACCTGGTGAGGGAAATCCCGCAAGTCTGGGTCGTATCTCACGTTCCAGCAAGGGAGGAAGACTACAGCTTCCTGGAATATAACATGCACTACACCTACGGGACTAATACGCTTGTCAAAACTAAGTAACCAAGCAATAAATTTGATGCTTTCGCAGACTGGGAAGATGCTGATTCTTTCTCGAGGCCGCTTTGCCGCGGCTTAAGTGTCACGCCTCCCGCCAGCTCCGCCCCGTCGCCTGCGCGATTATCGGAGTGGTCTGAGGAGGACGTAGGCGCACACGACTGTAGCGGAACCGGAAGTGAAGATAGCATCCGATTCATCTCGACGAAGAGGACGTCGAGACCGCGAAGAAGGAGGAACCACAAGGATAAAACCAAAGAGGTTGAAGTAATCGTCCCCGCCTTAAGGATCACGCGACTGGCTCCTCCAGGCGAGCCGGACACCACTCGGGATCTATCCTTTACGGACAATTGTCCCGTGGGCTTAACTCAACAGCTGCCAGCCCTTTTGAAGCGGCGAAGTTCGTAGCCGGAAGTCGAGTTCTCTTTTGTTTCTTAAGCGTTATGTTTCCTTGTTTTTACCTTTTTTCGAAACAAATGTGGAAATTATAGGCTGAACTACTTCGCGGAGTTTATACATTTTTGTATTATGCAATATGTAGGTATTTCTAGTCTTGGTGATAAAATTATGAATGTATGTTTCTGTAATGGTTTCATGATTAAAAAATGTGAAAAATTCATAAAAGATGTTGATTTCACAATAGTTTGTACTAACAGCTATTAATCAATAAAATACATTTATAACAGCAGACAATTAAATTTGTGTACATAGATACAATACTTTATTATTTTTACTTAACAAATACATAAAATACATATTGCTTTTCATACTAAAATAAAGCATCTTACTCCACACTATTATTCACAGTATTGCAACACATCACTCATATCTTCTACTTCTCTTTTGCCTACTTAGCAAGATTCATTCACTACACACTTTCTAGTAGTACAGTTTTTGTCATGCAGAGATAGGTAAATCAATGTTAATATTCAAATGCTATAATTTTTTTTAGTTCCATTGTGTACCCAAGGAATTAATTAAGGTCAAAATGCATCATGCTTGTATCTTTTGTATACTATGATATCTCTGGTCCCACAGCTTCCCCTTAATGATGAACCATCTTAACCCTCCGAGTACCACGGTCTTGCTGGAATGAAAAATACTACAGGGGTCATTTCGAGACCCCATTTCCAATTTTACGTTTTGACAATTTTTTTCTGACTGGAACTTAAAAAATCCTTTTAATCGGCATCTGATAATCAGCAGGAAAAATATTAAATTGTGTTACCCTTTTTAGAAGTGCAATATTATCAAACAAAAACAAGCATTTTGTTCTGATAAAATTTACAGAAAATACCATGGGGGTCTCGCAGGAACCCCAAGGACATTCTTTAGAAATCATTACTTAATGTAAGGCATATATAAATGTATTCAGGGAAAATGAAAATGTGACTCAATGAAAAGACACTTTCAGTATAACACAGAATGATGATATTCATATAGAGTCACTTGGCATTCAGATCATGAAATGGAAATACGATGTATCAAATAGTATACATTATTGCTTTATACAGTCATCTTATAGTTCATAGTCATCTTATAGTTCAACTAAAGAAACAGATAAAATTGATTATTTAAATATGCCAATGCAGAAGCCATGTATTGTTAACTGACATAAATAAAATATAAATATACAAACATTCTTTGTCTCCTGCCATTAATCAAGAAGACAAAACTGTCAAAAAGGTTCATAATATTTAATAAACTGATCACAATATTCTTTTTATAAGTATTGTCTTAAGAAAAAAATATTTATGAAAGGAATATTATGAAGAGATTTTCAAACCCGCTGGTGACGAGTTACCCCTCCGTTGCTTACCCCCACTTCTACTCTAACTGCTGCCACAATTGTCTCCATAATCACTGTGAACTGTCAAAGTATATTATTGAATTAATGAAAAGTTGTGACTTAATTTAGCCTTTTTTAATCAACTGTATACACCTTGCTACTTTGATAAATCAATAAAAAATTGCAACTTGAACTAAAATTCTGCAGGACTACATAGTTCCTTTGATGTTCCCCCTCAATTTTTGTTGAGGCACTCATGGGAATTAGCATAAGAAAATGGAAAGTATTTTTATTTGGACCATGTAGAAAATGCTCCCAATTAATTATATTACATACCGAAAGAATGATATGTAAGTTCTAATATTTTCATTTTTATTACATTGTTTAATTTTTTTCATTAAGGAAAACATATTTAGCAGAAGTTTCAAATCTTTAGGCGACTCTCTAAATCATGGGCTTTTATGTATAGTCAAATGTTTATAAATTGCAAAGGTGAGTATACACTTATTACAAAACCCTTTGGGCACACAATGAACTTGCAATACCAGGGATTTTGCAACATTGAAACATATTGATGTAATTATTCAGTACATGTCATCAGCACTAAAAATTTTTCAAATACCATACTCTGAATTCAACAAAAATACATTGCCTCTGGGAAATTATTTTAGTCAAGGCACTCATACCTATTCTAAATTTTGAGTGATATATGTGTAAATTGTGTACTATTAAACATGGACGACTCAACAGTGGAATGTTTATCTAGAGCATATCTTTGTAAGAAGAATATTGAAGACAATGAGTAACTCCCAAATGTATGATAGGTAATAATTGTAGCTCAAAAAAGACTACATGAGTAAAGATATCTATGAATTAACCATTGGCGAAGATACTAATAGTTTGTACAAAAATCCTTCTTACTGAGCGAATCATAAAACTGATTGACATAAAATCCAAGGAAAAATTGACATGTGAAAAAGAACCAAGTGGGTAGTATTGTAAACAAAATTAAAAAGTCTTAACAATCTGGAATCATTTTCGAGAAGACCAAAGTTTAAAGAAGACATTGCAATGTTAAAGTTAATTGCAAATACTTATTGCTTTCTCAATGCTGAATTACATTTAAGAAATTTTACAGAAGCTCCTTACATACTTTGACAGGGATATTTAACATCACCAAAGTTCTTATTCCCAAATTTAAGACAATTCTAAATTTAAAGGAATGTGTTACTGAAAAATAATTCTTCTTGCAGGTTGCATGATATTAAAATACATATTTATTAGAGAAGATATTTATTTCATTTTGTTTTGGGGACATTTTTGATTCACTTTATTCTGATGGTAAATAAATATTTACTTATAATTCCAATGTATTTTGTTTGTCTTGAATAATCCATTCTGAAAGTCACCTCAAATCTTCGTTGATTTTCTAATTTGAAATTCAAAAAATAAAATAGTATATCTGTCTGTAACAATATAGGGTTTCATGACAGACATTAATTGTTTTTAATAAATATTTTATGTTAATAAAAAAGAGCACGCAAGTGAGATTTGTGATAATCTTTCAGAGTACTTACGTTGTTCATTTTCTCTTTGCATAGTGGGGAAAATGAACTTCCACAGTAGTTTTTAGATTCATTAAAAATACTCTTATGGATGAAAAATCGTAAATGCAATTTTAGTATAAAATTTTCCATTTCTCTTTAATGTGAAAATTATAAAAGTGAATAGTTATGGTCTGTTCTCATGAATTTTGGATCAAAACAGATTGATTATGAGTTCACAAATATCTCAATAAGGAGGAAACATTTTCTGTATCATTGAAATCACTCTTCATAAATCAAAAAAGTAAAAAAGGGTAAAATATAATGCAAATAACCTTGCTGAATTTCATATGTGCAAGGCGAACTTTCTTTTTACAATTATTAAATAATTTTATAAATTAGAAGATTTCTCTACTCAGTCACTCATAACTTAGGGTACCATAATACAAAATTGAGATCGTTGAATATCAAAGTGCATTACAAGTAAACACATTTTGCTTTTGATTTCCTTCATTCCTAAAGACAAATCATCTATTAAAAATTGGTCAAATGATTCATCTTCATTTTGTTCATTTTATTTTGCCCTAGACATTACACAATCAAAATGCCAGTAAACATTTTAGCTCAGTTAAAAAACAATTATTCTGTTGTACATGTGAAGTATGTACTGTCATAGAAGTTTCACTAACGAGACAAAAGGCAAATATTTAAACCTTTCACCAAAAGCTCTCAACACATGTTGTTTTGCAGGTCCCAATATGCCAATGATTACTTTTCATCATACAAAGTGAAATTGAATTGAAAGTCCAGGCTCCTGACTTTATGTCAAATTGTTGATAAGTCACTATAATTTTCATAGTAAGGACGGAAGCCCAAGACCAGGCTAAAAAGGGCCTAAGAAGGGCAACGGAGGGTTTGTACACCCACTGAGCGGCGGCGAGCCCGGACGTCACTTATGCATCGGGTGCAGCTGTCCCAAAGGAGCCATGTATCCATATGGCAACAGATGTGCATCCACAGACTGAAGGCCAGAATGCTCAAACTCTGAAGAAACACGTGATGTTGGGGTTGGTGCCACTGCTGGAGGTGGAGGCCTTTGCAGACGTTTGGGAAGCCTGCATGACAAGCAAAGATCATTTTACTTGTCCAAAACCACATTTTGAAGTACATAATGAAATTGGAAAGGTGTGTATTTCAGTACATGAGCTCTCAAAGTCAATCTTCTGTTAAAAGTGGCTATTAAGAGGTTCTGTTATCCCTATTTGTGAATAATATCCAGTTCTTTATTACTAACAAACTGAACTATTGTAAGTGATGCTCTTTCGTGAATTATAAAATTAAAATATTATCAAATCATGAATAATGAATGTGAACTATCAAAGAATTTGCTAATTTATTTCCAAATAAAGGTATTTTAACATTCATGTATTTACTTTGGTACATTTAACTTCACTAAATTTTATTTTGGATTTAAAAAAGACTGTATATGACTTTTACTGATAAGAAAAGCATATGAATATACTTTAAATGCTCTTGCAGAGTGTATTTTTTATTTATTATTATTATAATACGGACAAGTAAGTTCATTATTTACAAAAGGAGGAGTATTTATATTTTATTTGACATTACTTATTGCAACTTATCTCTTAATAATAAAATAATTCATCGATCTGTAATTGAAGTGTTCAATTTACGTATTTTTCAGTATTTGTCACGGACAATAATAGTATAGTTTGGAAATTTCACCCTGTTTGTTCTGTGCATTATAGTGTTGAGCAATAGGCACATTCCTTTTAAAACAAAAAACTGAAGATCTTTTGTCCCCTTTTTAGATAAGAACAATTTTCAAACTATGATATGTTTTTCTGTTTCAATAGTTTGTAAAATGTTCACTCTTCTGTTTTGAGAATGTGGACAAGTTCTCAAGTGTTTAATTCTAATCATAATCGCCTGTAGTTTTCTAGTGATTGCAACACTAAATCACGGTACACTTTTTGTATGGTGATTTACCACCAGAGACCTCAGTTTGAAACTTGAATTTAAAAATTCTCAATAACAAAAGTATTTTTTCTTCTCATTGCAGGAAAAACAAAACAAAAAAAACAAACAAAAAACAACAAAACAATGATTTTGCAGTCACCAATCCAAAAAATATAATGCTATACTTTTAAATACATTTTTCATACTAATTTACAAGTAAATAGTAGTCAAGATTAAAATTTTAAAAACAACAACAAACAAACCTGCATAATAAAATCAAGAACTGATATATTGGGTGTTTCAGAAAGAATACATTTGGTGTCTTCATTTCAAGAACATTGTGTAAAAGACTGAATTGTGAATATCTCAGACATTTCTATCAAAAACTGAATAATTTTAACAAATTCACATTTGATTTTAAGCTTAGTGTTTTGACAATGTAGACAATGAAGAATTTTGATAAAATGTTGAATTTGCTTCTTGATTTAGCTTTTGGTTAACCTTTCATTCAAAATAGAATGAATAATGTAATTCCTTAAAAATCTAGATTTATTGGGCCAGAGAGAATAAAATTGTTCAGTTGAAGTTCTTTACCAAAGCTTCCTTGAGTACATTTTGAATTAAATAAGAATTGTTAGAGCAATATAGAAATGCTAAAATATGTAAAGTAACAGGAAAAAATAAAAACAGACAAAAATCAATAGAATAAAATACTTATTCAATTAGGAACAGATTAAAATTCAGTAAGAGACTCCAAGTATTGTAATAAAAATTAAAAAAACAATGGTGGTGGTGTGCTACCAAATGTAAATAAACTAAACAGTCTAAACAACAGAAGCTAATACAATTAAATAAAGCAATCAAAAAGGAGAAATACACATAGATTATTCATGATACTGAAAAGTAATGGATCATATTTCACACACTGAAAAAAAAAGCATGTATGTACTTAACTTTTGCACTCCTGGTACACAAAATAGATTAGTATATTAAAATAGACTCAACGACTTTATAGCAAGAGGTCTCAAAAAGTGTAGCAAAGTTTTGACCTTTGTATTTTGCAATTGGTGTAAAGAAAAAAGAAAAAGAAATTTTGAAGAGGAAAAAGATTAATAAGAACTCACCATGAGAAGAGGGCATCATTCTTGCAGGCGCAATCTTGACAGAATCTTGGAGGACAGGTACATGGTAAAGGAGGGCATGCAGGACATGAGGGACAAGACAGGGACCCATGCCGCTTCTTGTATCGCCACAAGAGAATAGCAATTACACCAGCAATTATTAACAAGCTCACCAGGATCAGAAATAGTTGACAAAGTCCACCACAAGAAGGACTGCCTCCTGAAACAAGGTAAACTACTGTGAAAGAATTGAAAGATGTTCTGTCATACAGAGTACATAGATCAACATTGAGGACACTTTTTGAATGAGTTTGAATTATTCTTATAATTTGCGGTGTTGAATTCAAATATGATAATAAAGCAGCCTCATCACTTATTTTTTTTACATGCCAACACTAATTATTTAAAGAAATTAAATTTTCAGTGAATTCAATTATATTAAAGCCAAAGAAAGAATGCTGTAAGATCAAAATGGTGGGAGATTACTGATATTTGGCTGGTAAATGAAATCTCTACCTTGCAGGGGCAAATGTCATACATGTAACTTTGTTGTAAGAGAGATTTCTCATCACATGTTCCTTGGTAAAAAGTGATATCTTTGACACGTTTAAATACTCATAATTGTACCTCAAGTTTATATCATGTGTTCTTAAGTACTATGTATGTATTTATTTATACATTAATTAATATTTTTAATTGATCTTATTTGATTTTGACACAAAAAGAGTAATAAATAACAGTTTTGTTATTTTCAAATTTTATTAATTGACTGCTGCAAATTCAAATAATATCTTAATTTTTTAGAGGACCATTAAAATAACATGAACAAACAGTTGCCAACCAGTGATAATTTTGTGAAGTGGTAACAAAAAAAAGTGTTTTTGAAGTATTTTGTGGTATAATTTTATAGTTTCATGATGATAAGATTATAAAAAGTAGTAGAGTAATTATCGAAAACAATTCAATTTTGTAACAAAATCATTTTTCAAGAAACAAATAATTGTGTTAATCCATTTTACCTTTGTTGGGACAATCTGTATTGAGTGGTGCTGCAGCTACTGTTGACTGCATCATGGGGGCAGATGTAGAAGGGTGTTGGGGTGGTTTTGTTGCAGACATACAAGAGCAACGAGCCGTAGCATCACAGGTACAAACCCCTGAACCACCAACAATACCTCGAGTTGCATTGGCACTTGCTGTCACAGGTTAAAAAAAAAAAGAAAGATTAAGTTTACCATTTGTGATTATTTACTTGGGGAATATACATAACAGACACCAATATCATTTCTGCTTGAATGACTTTTTTAGGAATCCCTTTCTTCCACTGACACATTGGCTGCCATGTCTAACATGTTTATTATCTGCCTGTGTCTGTGCCCCTGTGACTGTCCACTTGTATGAGTTTGTGTGTCTGTTTCTGTCTCAAAAGTAAGTCAGTCAGTCAGTCAGTGCATGCTATTGCAACTCCATTGAAACTGAATAAGAAATTTATACTTCAATATCCAATCTTGTCTTCATTCTTTTGTAACTGAAGTTTCTCAGTCACCTGATAAGATTAGGTTTGGGTATTGTATCTTTACATTTTTTAGAAATATGCCAAATTAAATAGACTAATTCAATTTTTTTCTGAATTGTAACATTATTTGGAAATGAAATAAAAATTGCCAAGCTTAGTGATCAACTGCGGGTATTTTTAGAACCAGTAGGATTACATAATTTGGATGATTTACTTACTTGACTCCATCATGCTACAATCCTGAGGGCAAAGACCAGGATGCATATCCTCCAAAGGGTCACATACACCATCAGGACATGTAGCAATATCAGGTGAACAAGTAGCATATTGTTGGGATGGTGTGCCAGCTCCAGATTTTCGACTGCGCCATGCACAGCCCCCTCGAGAGGCAGAACTACAAAAGTAATCACTTTATCAACATGTGTGTTGTAGAGATCTTTCAGCACCTTTAAAAAAGTGTTTAACAACATATGACACTTTTAAATACTCCCTGAAATTATCAATTTCATTTTGAACTCCCCTTCCCACTTCCTGAGTTAACTAAAACTTCTATAAAAAATGGTTTAACCCTTCAGTATGGTATGCCATTTCCAGAGGGCATATTAAAAATATTTATGAGTGCAAGAGTATATTTAATATTTACAATTATTATAATTTTGTTTTGTTCAAACATTGATTTAAGTGACAATTGAATCAGTTTTATATTCAGTAATTTTTATGTCCAGTTTCCCTCTATCTATATTATTCTCTAGATGGAAAAAATGTCAGAGTCCAACATCTTTTCAGAGTTGAGAAGCACAATAGCAAGCAAGCAAAGCTGACACACTCCCGCAGCAGGCCTCATCTGATGCGCTCATCTGACTATCTGCTCCTGCGAAGCCGCTGACCGCATCTTGCACTTAAGGACACCTTGAAATGCTACTGCGTTCACACAGGGCCTCACATAGAATGGTTAAGCAGGTGAGGACCCTTTAGTACGTAAGGTTCATTCTGTAGAATGAGCTCTTTCAATAGCTGGGCCTTCCCTTTAAGAGATGGGGCTCAGAGCAGGGATTGCCTACTCCCTTTCTTATGCCAAAAATGCTTTTAAATGAATATTTATGTTTTATAATTGATTGTTTTAATTACAGTTACTTTAATTTACACTTACATACTTTATTTTTTAAAGATATATAAATTTAACTTATTCGTAAATAATTTAACTTACTTTTGGCCTCCTTTTGCTCCAGTACCAAGTCCACAGAGTGAAACACAGGATTTCATAGTTCCTCTGGAAGCACAAGTAGGGGGCATATCCATATTGTCCATAGGCATCATGTCCTCTACAGAACCTTTGGTCATGGAATTTTCTCCCATTGAATCTTTTGCCATCGAATTGTTCTTCATGGGATCATCCTTCATTGAGTCATTTTTCATTTCTTTCCCTCCCATACCTTTCATATCCATTATTTTTGTACTGTTCATTTCATCTTTCCCCATGGAATCCTTGGATGTGACATTTTTCATCATTGTATCTTTGCTCTTTTTCATTTTAGGAGAGCATTCTGTTGACGAAGAATTGTCTAGTGTTATCTCAATTTTGGCAGAGCCACCTCTGCCACCACCACTAGTGCTATTCCACATAATCTCCAGCCTGCAAGAAATTCATGTTTTATTTAGCCTTGGAATTTATTTCTTTAGAACTGATAAATAACATTGATAATTTAACTTAATAATTTACAAAGAGAGTTGGTATCAAGTCTTATTTCAGATGTGGATTCACAGAGTTAGCTAGAATAATATATTGAAAAATTCTTCTCCTGCCTCCTTAAAAAAAGCATTAATTTTCTGAAATTAATAATTCATACCGTCTTTTAATTTTCAAAATTTTTTGATTTGAATGTGGTTAATATTTAACAAAAAATAATGTGTGACAATAGATAACATATAATGAATAATAGTGGAGTTTGATTTTGTTTGAAAACAATTCATTCCCTCCCCTTTAGAAAGTGTAATTAAACCACGTCCAGTTTTTCAGGTTTAGCAGGAGAGGTCAAGCCTCCCTTGTAATCTACCTAACCTTTGCAATAAATTTTCTTTCGTCCCACCTGATGGTGAATTAACTAATAGGTGCTACTATACAATTGCCTAGAGCCCCTGATGACATAAAAAACACTTTTTATTAATTAAACTAGACAGACATTTTATTTTTGTAACATCAAACTTGTAATAAGCATGTAATAAAATGAAACTTTAAAAAACATAATAAAATAAAATCATGCATCAAAGTTTTTAAAAGATATGTTAATGTATGAATTCAGAACGTATACCCAAATAACACTTACCATTGTGAGATATCAATATCTTTAAGTAACCTATTAATATTCTGTGAAGGTTTAAGTCATATCCCAAAATTCAGAAGATCATCTTTTGATATTCTGAGTAATGTAATAATATAGAAATAATGAGTTGCAGTGTCGAATAATTACATTAGATAACGTAATACTTAGATAAAATGTAGAATAATATTTAGATAAATGCCTCTTTAAGTTTTCTTGACAAAAATGATAACGAATTATTCTGCAGAACATACTTTTTCAGATTTGAAAAGGAATCAAGGCTAGTCGACAAGCTACTGAGATGCAGGAATGACTAGATGTGTTGAGAGTCTTCTTTGCATTAAATCTGATATTTTAAGGAAAATTGATTTTGATGACATTACTGATAAGTTCAATGAACTAAAGTGTAGGAGAAAGTTTTACCGAATCTCATTTTGTATCGTTAAATGCAAAGGATTTTTTAAAATATTAATAAATGTGGGAATGCCAGCGAGAGGGCTTAGAAGTGTGAAATTAAAAAGTGCTATTAATTAGTAGCTTTTAGCTATTTCAGTTTAGGGTTAGGTGAAGATAGTAACTGTGTTAGCTGATAGGTGGTGCCATGAAGAAGGGACGCCAAGGGATGTTTTGGAGGGAAAGGACAATGATGGAAAATTTCCCCCCTAAAATTTTTCTGTAACTATTAATTGTCACAAAAATTTCAAACAAAAATATTTTCATATAATCATTAAAACAAATAAAATCGTACAGATTTGACAAAGTCTGTAATGACACATTTGACCAAAGCACTTTTAATTTTCCTTCCCAAAATCTGTTTCTGAATCTGGCCCTGATTTAGCACTTATATGAATTTGTCAACTGTTTATTAAATGTTTGCAAATCACTTTATGAAGAGTTGCATAATATATTTTGAAAAATATTAACTGTAAAGATCTGTAATATTACTAAGAAATAATACAGTGGCTAACAATAATACACAAATTGAAATTTTATCAAATGCCATTGGGTAATTGCCATAATCACAATATTTTATTTGTGAATGCTTTTGTGATATGCAAAATAATAGAATAGAGAAAAATTGCTTTGTTTTCAGAATTACCTGATTTCTGATTTTAGGAATTATTTGCTTTCTTACTTGAGTTAATGAATTAAATTGAACACATGAATTTCAAAACATTAGAAGTCCAAATTTTAATGCTACACACATGCTAGATTTATGGGTATTATTGGAATTATTTTGCCATAAGCTTCCACATGACATTCAGAATAGCATAAAATTTTATTTTCTAATGCATATTTCAAATTTCAGTTATCAAAATATCACAAGAGCAGTGTCACTCCTATCAGTTGTTCCTCTACAAAGATTCTGCTATTAGAACACAAACATCAGTAATGTGGATGGAATAGCCATTTTCTCCCCAAAGGTTTTTAATGAAATGCAGCCTAGACCAGATTCTTGTTTTGGTTTATGTCTCCTACAAATTTTATCATTTATAGTTACAACCATTTTTCAGTTTTTCTTTTCTGATTTCTGTATTTTCCTTTGGATGTTTTGTATTTTTTGTTGTATCCATATACCATTTTCATTCACTTTTGTATTTTCTTATGTATGCTTTGTATTTGAGTACATGTGATTGTTCATTACAGTTTAACACATTACACATTTAATTACAGTTACAAGTGCTGCCTAAACTTTGTCAGTTTGTAAATTGTATCCATTACAAATAAAAAAATAAATATCTTTAGTAGGTTTAACACTATAAAATTCACATTCCATCACAAAACTTTGATTAGTGAACTTTTCTGGAATTAATGACTTAATTGTTCTTCTAAAGAGTTTTGTTTAAAAAAAATTACATTTTGTTCATGAAACCACTTCAGACTTGGGCTTACATGATAGTTCCTGGAGCAGATCGAAGAGCCGTGGCATCACTCACGTACACAATACCACCTCTTTGTGTGACATCCAATGGGTGATGCTCTTCCTTTTGTGGTATCCAAAATCTCAATGCAGGTTGCCCAGAAGCTGTGACATCTGCTGCTGCAGCTAAGGGACCATCTGGCTGTACCACGCGAGCATAAGCTGTTGCACTTCTCAGCACCTGCAAATGCCATTCACATTCAAATATATTGCAATCATCGAATTATTGGTTAAATCTGCCAATTTTCCAGGCTGAATGTCAGAAAAATGAGAAATGTCATATAAAAGAGAATGAGAAAATATGATGAAAATTATTATTTATCTTTCATGTCATAAAAGGACAATGGACATTTTGACTATTTGAATGACAATTTCTATAGTTCTTGCTTTCTTCAAAAGTATGCTCTAGAAATTTTTAATTTTATAGTTTTTTGAAACCATTTTTGTAGGAATGGCAATAATACTGATGATTAATGATTAATTTTTCTTGCTACATTTTTTTCTATACAGCTACCTTTGCTATTACTTTGTACTCTGACACTTTTGTCCATTACTAAGTACACCTACTTCATATTTTATTGAAAATTTCAAATTCAAACTATACAATCAACTTGAGTCAGACTACCCCTAATCTTCTTTAATATTGATAAATGGAGATTCATTGTATTTTATTTTTGAGAGGAGTTTATGATTTTCTCAAGTAATGGCCAATACAAACTAAACATCAAAAAGAAGGATGAATACAGTTTATCAAAGAATACTGTTTTACTCTTTCTCAACAGTTCAATAATGGTTTTTTACCAAAGATATCATAGGATTTTCAAAATACTCCATTACCACTATTCACGTACTCATATGTCCCTCTAATTTATCTCACCTTTGCCTTTGAAGGGTATTCAGGCATAGGAAGTAAAGGCATCATCGAAGACATATCTGTGGTCATCATCGATGACTCCATTGTCATCATGTCTGAGGTAGACATTTGATTCATCATCATAGAGGTCGTAGAAATCATTTTCATTTTCATCATCATTGTCGGTTCTGTTGTGGGTGCAGCTCCTGAGTGAACATTTATCATTACATCCACCTACGTAAAAGAAGAACAGATCTCAGAGAAACCTTCATTTTGAATTGTAATGATACAGCTACAATATTTGATCATAAAGAAAAAAGAGACACTTTTAAAAGTATGTCTGTATTATGTTTATCACTATTTTGTTTGTATCAAGAGGAAGCAAACAATAATACTGTAACTCACATGACTAACAGGGGCAACACCAGGTGCCAAGGAAGTGTCATTTGCTTGCATCACAATAGAATATGGGTCTCTACCTTCAGGGGGGTTAGCTGTTTTTGCAACCTCCAAACCTGTAAGAGAAGACAAACATAAAATATATTGTTCCCTTTATTGTATTGATGAAAATGAGACAAACAATTGATCTCAATGTACATTACATAATTCTTGCACATTCATTTAATTTCGAAAAATGTTCATTCAATAATGTAAGAAGGGCCTACATAATGATCATGATAAAATTAATTTTTCAATGCAATTCAATTTGAAATTTTTATAACATTTTTATTTTTTGTTTTATTTTTAATTTTACATAATTTTATAGGAGGTAAACAGTGACACTTACGGCAAGCGATTGCTGTTCGCTCTCTGCCCAAGTGTTCTGCTTGATCCTGAGCACATTCAGGAAGTAGAAACAACCCTGCATCATCATTCAAAACTGTAAAAGTGTAACTGTTGGGTTCCAAAGTATCTGCATCGGTAAAGGATAAAGCAGGTCCTTCAACGTATGTACCCTGAAAGCAAATAAAGAATTATTCCAGAAGTATGAGAAATAAGTTGGTCAACAAATGAGAAAAATGTCTCAAGTTGAAATTTTTTTTCCTGAAATGAAAAAAATGAAAAATTTCCAAAAATAACTTGTATTTACAACTTTATTTACAATAAAAGATCAAGGAGAAAGTTTTGCAAGGTTGAAAAAATTCGATATAGACATTTTGACGGAAATACACCCTTTGTAGGCTCAAATACCAAAAGTGTGTTTTGTTTTAGAATGTCTGTCCATTTCTCTGTGATCAACACGAGCGCTTCAACCATTCCAGAATTTTCACCGAAATTGATTTTCTCCGATTGATCTTCGTTTATGTCATATCCATTTCAAATTCGAGGGGCTATTTTAATTTTTCAGGGGGTATTTCATATAAAGCCTGTAGGTGACATTATCAACATGTTCTCAAAAATCGCTCGAATTTTTTCTTTAATTTTTTTTTTACTGGAATGGTGCAAAGCTCTAATTTTGTAAGTTTAAACTATTTTGAATCCCTCCAACTACTTTGTTATTTAAAGATTATTACTTAATGAAATCTATTCTTCAAAATTATATCTTTAAAATTTAAATGAATAATTATTTAAATTAAACATTAATAATGCCACGTGCAATTTTTACTTTCTCGCCCTTACGTACGTAAGAAGAAAGTTATTAAGGCCCATTCACAATGCATGTAATCATAAGCATAATGCTTAGGTGTAAACATTGACATAAGTGATAGACTGTATGTTTTGCATCAACCTAAGCAGTAAGTTCACAATGTCTTACATCAACCTAAGCAGTAAGTTCTATTAGGTGTGAGGCATTCTAGTTTACTATTGGTTGGATGATAATCGATTTCAAGGTATAGACATTGTTCATGGACCATATGGCATTAGTTCGTCTATCGACTTCACTTCTTTCACAAGCGTTACAAGTCACAAGTTTCACGTTATACGTTAACTTATAGTAGTAATCACAAGCACTCGAAAGTTCTGTTTCACAAATATTTTACAATACATAAGCATACAAGTGAATGCCCACAAGTTAATTATCCACAACACAATTATTTTCCCTGGTCCTTTCAGCCCAGGAAGTTAACTTTGCTTTGGGCAAATGCTGAGATGGTCCCTTGTTTTGCTTCTAGACAGTAAACGTAACTTTACTCCCTGCTTTCAAGAAGATGTGCGCAATTGTATTCTCTCCACATACATCATATTTGACTCGTCATACACGATTGTAATTGTAAATGTGACTCAATAAATTATTATTATTATTATTATTATTATTATTATTATTATTATTATTATTATTATTTGAAATAACTTGCGTATTTCCGACTTCCTTGCACTTGAGTGGACTGTCTGCATGTGTTTTTTCGTGTCCGTCTCGCGTCTTTGTCTTTTGGTTTTGCATGCGCATGTTTTGTTGTTGCCGTCCACCTGCGTCAACTTTCACCTTTCACCGAGGACGAATGACCTTAGCTCGTCCTCGTCCAGCACGAGCACCTTCTTTTCCTCAGTCCTCACACGCTCTTACACCTACATGTACTACACTACCGCACATATTGGGGGCTTTGAGCTTGACCCGATTGAGTCAGTGCCTCGTTGCTGGGAGATACATGGTTGGGGAAAACCCTGTTAGCCGATGTCAAGTTCGACGCCGAATCGCACCATCCATTGGGGAATATCATCGCGTACTGCCGTGATAAAACATGCACTACACTTTCCGGACCAACGACTGCACCAGTGGACGCGTTAGAATCAAAGAAAACACCCTGGATCAGCCCACTTGCGACCCTTCACTAAGGACTAAACGACCTTCGCAACTGACGCGCCCGGAAGCAAGCGTAGTGATCAAACGATCCCTCTGAATCCGCCCACCTGCGTCAACTGCGACCCGTTGAGGTACACGTCGAGGTCGGAACCATTGGAACAGCCCACTTGCGATCCCTTCACTGAGGACTAACGACCTTCGCAACTGACGCGCCCGGAAGCAAGCGTAGTGTTCACACGATCCCTCTGAATCCGCCCATCTGCGTCAACTGCGACCCGTTGAGGTACACGTCGAGGTCGGAACCACTGGAACAGCCCACTTGCGATCCCTTCACTAAGGACTAACGACCTTCGCAACTGACGCGCCCGGAAGCAAGCGTAGTGATCAAACGATCCCTCTGAATCCGCCCACCTGCGTCAACTGCGATCCGTTGAGGTACACGTCGAGGACGGGGGGCGTGGCCTGCAGCTCCAGCGGCGAGTCGTCCTCGTCCAGCACGAGCACCTCCACCTCGGCGGAGGCCGTGGCCGCGGCGCCCGCCCGCGCCGCCGTGCACGTGGCGAGCGCGCGCGCGCTGGGCGCGACCTCGCGGTCCAGGGGCAGGCGCGTGCGCAGCAGCCAGGGGCCCCTGCCGCCCGCGGGCCGGTCCGCCGCCAGCTGCTCCTCGGGCGCGGTGCCTGCCGGCAACAGAGTAGGGACCGCGCCGTCATTCCCGACAGTTATCATTACGCAGGCGTGCGCAGCGTTTTGCACTTTCGCTGACCTCGGGAGCCACGCGCAAGCCACTCGAGTGGAAATGCGTAAGGGTGGGGGTTAAAACTTATTATAGCGGTTGGGACCACGAATGAGAATGTACATTTCGAATCGTAGCGTGTAATATGACAGAGAAATCGTCGAGAACATGACGGGGATAAGACTTATTCTAGCGGTTGGAACCAAGA